GATATGACTTGCCCGCAAAGACGACGGCTACCGTAATGGCAATTTCGGGATAACTTGTCGTCATTTACCACTCATCTCCAATCCAGCGCGTACAGTACGCCAGGCTCTAACTCCCACGCCTTCGCATACAGTGCCAGACAGTGTGCTGTGGCTCCCGGGGTTCGAGGGTAATTAGCAAGGCAGAACGGGACGCGTAAGTTCCGCTTGCGATCTCTGAGTGTTCATCAATGCATGTCAATATTTCTGATCTAAGCTGGCAGACAACGAGCCAGTGACGCAATGTTTAGGGCTTTAGACTTCCGATAAGCAAGTCGAGGCTGCAGGGCTCGGGTAGTAGGCCTCCTAGAGTTTGTCGAGGCTAGGTAATGAGCACCAATTAACCCGAAGTGACCACTTTAGTCTCCATTGTCTTTGTTGGCCATTTTTATATGCCCACACTACTAGCCACTATGTGGCTGCTGGCGGAAATCCAGAGTAAGCCCCAAGGCGCAGCGAGATGAGTGAGTTCTATAAGCGTTCATTAATGATTCTGCTTGACTTTGTTTCTCTGGGTAGCATGCGACTGAGTTAATTTTAAACTTATCATTGTTTTTTGAACTCTAAAACCATTTGAACGTCGTGGTGTCGCTGTATGATGACCACAATTAGCATTTTATTATTAAAAGATGTTGACAATACTTCACAGCGTATGCATTATATAACCTTAACCCCCGAAAACAAAGCGGCTTAATAACTACCGAGATTAGAGAAGAATTTGGAAATTCCCCCTCCCCTGCCCTCAAAGACGAATTTGCAATAAAATAATACGAAATAGGCCCACTGAAATGCCCGGATATAATATATTCTGCGGTTGACCTTTGCGTTAGTCAGGCGGACACATCAATAACCTGAAATGTTTGAGGCGTATATACATGACTTGTCATTGTGAAATAATCCTGCTTAACGCTTATCCAGTCACTGATCGAAAGCTTGACTTTTGATAGAAAAGCAACCATGATAAGCACGAAAAAAAGCAGAACGGAAAATCAAAAATGAATCGAAGAAACAGCACTCTAGGAAAAAGGAAAAAAACGATTTTGTCAAAACTCAACTGGAACGATGTTTGACCGGGGTCGACACGAGACGGAACACGGTTAACTGAAAGCTGGACGCTGAGGCGGCAACCATGGAGGAAGTGACAGGCCTTTAGTACGCCCCGGTTGAAAGCCCTGCAGTCAGCAAAAGTAACAAAGCCGTAGCCGCGAGAAATGCCAGTTGCCCAATCGCGTACTACCACGGCTTTCGACACCCTGCCGAATTGAGAAAAGTACGCTTCCAGGTGCGGTGTCGTAATTTCCTTTTTCAAATGGCCGATAAATATTGTGGGATCATAGGAGGCGAGAGTAGAGTCATTGTCCTCATCAGACTGGGAGAGGTCATCGTCCGCTCTGTCTGTGACGAGGATACTGGGGTGCAAATGTTTATGGAGTAAAATAATACCGAAGAGACATCAAAGTCTGACCGAAGGAGGCCTACCAGGTGACGATTTTGAAGTCTGTGCTGTTTATGCATAAAAAAACCCCAAAAAATTCACTAGGCATCTAAATTAACTAAATACTGACCCGTCATATGTCAAATCTTGTTTTTACTAACATAGTTCAGTTACTGTATTGAGGTTGGCTGCAGATCCCGTGGCCAGTCCATACCGGCTCGAATGTGAGGGCTCAAGAATGGACGACTAACGAACATCAACATGTATCGTGTTCTATCTTCAAGTCAGGTGGAACTGCTGAACACCATTTCATTTTAGAATCGATGTGCAGTAGGGCACGGAAAGAGAAACTCCACTGTCCTAGAGAACAACTATTTGTCTACTTATTCGATTTAAGTAGAGTGCTGTATAATAATAAGTCTAAGGCGCGCTGCCGTGAACATGCCGTGCAAGAAAGTAATCCTGGGTTGTCGAGTAAAGTAAAAAAGTAACAGGTAGGATCCAGCATCAGAAATGCCTTCTTTTGGTAGCGATAATCCTCATCTAAATGTTCGGGCGATAATTCATAAGGTGAACAACTGGCTAATGGAAAGGATATAGTAGATGCTGAATCAGGACATAGTATGTACTCATGATGGGTTCTCCTTTCCCCGCCACACAGATTATTACCACAAATTGCGGACAAGCCCAAAAGATTGGATATAACTTACAGCTTTGCTATATGCAATCACGACACGTAGAGGACCTCAAATAAACACATTTTACTACTTTTCCAACTATTGCCAGGCAAAACTGATTAACAGTTGATTAACTGATTAACCTGTCTGGAAAGGTAGGCGGGCATACATGTTCGGCACCTGCGACCAGATTAAAGAGGTTTTCTCGCCTGTAATGGAAGCAATTTCTTGTCCACATCAAAAGCTTACTCGTTGTCCTGTGTTCTCCTTGCTAAGCGGACAACCACGTGCTGGTCGCATAACAGGTGCGGCTGGACCGCAAGCACGCGTCTTACTGAGTCCGTTTCAAGGAAGGTGACGAAGCCGCGGCGAACAGAAGCCGAACCCATCTTGTCCTTTGGCCCGAAGACTTCAGTGATCAGGCCAAATTTGGAGAGATAGGCACGCAGATCACACTCGTTCATAGCTTCGGGCAGGTTCTTTACGTAGATTCTGTTAGGATCTAGGTCCCAGTTAATCTCAGGGGATCTATATAAATATTTCAAAACACTTAGTAAATGTAATAACGAAATTCACTGAATGTAAGTTGTATTCAGCAAACCATGGAAACAAACAATCGTACAGAAAGTTGCAAAGTGATTTTTTTAAATGCGCACAAATGTATTCCCGTAAAAAATGTATTAAGGGAGGAAGACCTGACAAACGCCTTATTTATCGTCGTCGTCAGTTCTTATGCAACTCGATGTTTTAATGCAAAGCATTTCATGTTTTAAAATTATATGTTTCCTCGACGCCGGCTACGCCATGGACATTGTTTAACTTCTATGTGAGCAAATCGCCGCGAAAATTGGGAGGGCTGGAAAATTTCGGAAAGTCTGCAAAAGTAT